CAACTTATGTAAAGAATAGACTAAATAAGACAACTTGCATAAAACACACATATTTTTATTACAAATGAAAAAGACGATTTACAAATTCTTTATTCCTTATTTATTGAATGAATAAAGAATAACTTTTATTCCAATTTCGGTTTTCTAATTAAAAAACAAAAATCTAAAACAAAACACGTCTCGCTCTCCGCATTCTTAATTTATTTGAAAGTGAAATTTCTGTTTTCAAAACTCATCGATTTGCGAAAAGAAAAACAAAACAAACGAAAACCTGTGCCTTTATCTTATAGAAGCAGTGTTTTTCAACCTTGAAACTTTAGTTAAATCACTTAAATTATGATAAATTCATTAAAAATTAGTAATTAAATGATATTTGATTCAATTTATATGTCTTTTGCGAAATGGATGTGGTCAAAATGGATTTTTCGTCCATTTCACGTTGAATTCTAAATTGAGAAAACGAATTCGGTTTTCGAACAAATCTTTATTTTCGCATCAATCTTTTGAGATATTTTCATTGAAAACCAAAGACAAACTCAACTTATGTAAAGAATAGACTAAATAAGACAACTTGTATAAAAAACACACATATTTTTATTACAAATGAAAAAGACGATTTACAAATTCTTTATTCCTTATTTATTGAATGCATAAAGAATAACTTTTATTCCAATTTCGGTTTTCTAATTAAAAAAACAAAAATCTAAAACAAAACACGTCTCGCTCTCCGCATTCTTAATTTATTTCAAAGTGAAATTTCTGTTTTCAAAACTCATCGATTTCCGAAAAGAAAAACAAAACAAACGAAAACCTGTGACTTTATTTTATAGAAGCAGTGTTTTTCAACCTTGAAACTTTAGTTAAATCACTTAAATTATGATAAATTCATTAAAAATTAGTAATTAAACGATATTTTACTCAATTTATATGTCTTTTGCAAAATGGATGTGGTCAAAACGGATTTTTCGTCCATTTTACGTTGAATTCTAAATTGAGAAAACGAATTCGGTTTTCGAACAAATCTTTATTTTCGCATCAATCTTTTGAGATATTTTCATTGAAAACCAAAGACAAACTCAACTTATGTAAAGAATAGACTAAATAAGACAACTTGTATAAAACACACATATTTTTATTACAAATGAAAAAGACGATTTACAAATTCTTTATTCCTTATTTATTGATTGAATAAAGAATAACTTTTATTCCAATTTCGGTTTTCTAATTAAAAAACAAAATCTAAAACAAAACACGTCTCGCTCTCCGCATTCT